AGTCTCTAGATAGTAGTATTTAAAGTTGATGAAACGATAAGAAAGTTTGTGTTTTAAAGAAAATGAGAAGGACAATAGCGTTTATGCGAAGTTCAAGAATGGAAAATTCATTTTCCATATCCTGTGAATAGATGATATTCTACTCACTAGTAGTGATGTTAATCTGTCATTGGAGAAGAAAAAGTTTTGTCCTCAAGTTTCAATGTGAATGATCTTGGTGAAGCGTCATTGGTTCTAAGAATCAAAATTCACCGAGATAGCAGAAAATGGGGTATTAGGACTATCGCAAAGACATACTTATAAAAGATTCTAAAGAAATAAAGTATGCATGCGAGTAAACCTATGCCTGCTCCTATAGTCAAGGGTCATAGATTTAGGAACTTTAAGTGTTCTCGGAACCGATATGAGATCGATCAATTGAATATGGTTCCATATGCTTCAGTTGTTGGAAGCTTAATGAGTGTACAAGTACAAGTAAGAACTTACCCTGACGTAGTTTACGTATCCAGGATATTTTGACAGAAGTCCAGTCAAGATATAGATCACTAGAATGGAGTTGAGAATGTCTTGCAATTTTGCAAAGTATTATAGGCCTCATGCTGAATAAGAAAGAACAGGTACTCTTAAATAGTTGATGGTACAAATGTTAAGTCTTGGCGAGATGTGTAGTGAAATCCACAGTAGTTGCTAATACTCGCAGTTGGAGTATTATTGTGGAAAAACTCCAAAGAAACAGTTATGGTGTTATCTGTGATGCATACCATAGTATAGCTTGACACGAGGCTTAAAGAACAGGCAAAAAGAGGTTAAGAGAATTAGTACCAGGATTTAACAATGGTAGTCAACAGCAATAATCATTTAAAATAGTTAACTCCTAAGACAACAGATCAAGTGTGTTGCCAAATATATTGACATTAAGTTATATGTTGTAAAGGAGAAAATCCAGAATTATTTCGAAAGCATTGAGCATATGAGTATCAAGCAAGTACTTGCGGATCCGCTTAACAAAGGCTAATCACCCAGTGCGTTCAGTATGATTTCTGGATACTAAGGGCCTAATTGAGTATCTGTTTTAAAACAGAGATATGCATTATAGCTGTTAAATCTAATGGCAACTGACCGTGACGATGAGGCACACTCTATGTACTGATCTGTGATGAAATGGGAAAAAGAAAAAAGAAGTTAAGTTTAAGTCATAAGGTGAGATCAAGTCTCCACCAATTGGCCCAACGGCTAATTGGGCCCTTGATCCGTATCCTGGTCGGGGGCGCTCAGCCTTTATACTGGCTGATGGGCCCCTGTCGCGCAGTGCAATAAATAGGAAGTGAGGGCTGAGGTTCGAGACACGAGGTTCACCACAGCCGCCCGCCCTACCGTGATTCCTGGTCCTAATCCAATTTAGAAGGGCGTGCTGTGAGCGACGGGAAGCACCATCGTCTTTGCCGCCGCCACCAGACCGGGTCTGCACTGCTGCTATTTCGTCGCCGGTGCCATGGGTGCGACTGGAGACTGGAGGCAAGGTATATCAGCAAGTCCCCTCATGTAAGCTAAGTATTACCTACTGATCTACGTCTATAAGTACTTTCAGTTCTATCAAAATCATTGACTAATTAGGTTTAAAAGATTCGTCTCGTAAATTAGTCGTAAACTATGTAATTAGTTATTCTTTTAGTCTATATTTAATATATATGTCTAAATATTTGATAGAATATGGAGTAAACTTTAGAAAAAAAAAACTACACAAGGCCTCGGTATAGGGGGCAACGGACAAGTGAAGCATCATAAGAAATAGCAGTGGTAAGGCGGTGACGGCGGGGGCGGCAAAAGTTAGTCCTGTACGTGATGCGATGATGGCTGAAACATTGGCTTGCAAATTTGCTTTGGAGGCAGCGGAGGTACATGGAATTTCCAGAGTGGAGTTGGAGACTGACAGTGCTCTGTTGAGGGAAGCGCTGGCCACAAATACCCGAGATTTAACTCCGGCAGGTGTTTTGTTCAAAGGTATACGGGAGCTTCTTGCTGATCAATTTAGATGTGATTGTGTTCGAAATATTCCACGCTCTTGTAATTCAGTAGCTCATGAGATTGCTAGGCTTGATATCAGTTGGGACCGGGACAATCCGTTGTTTGGTTGGACCCATCCCATAGTTTGTAAATATTCTTGTTACTCGCGATTTGGCTAAGCAATCGTCTTTAAATATAAGGCCGTAATAGCCTGTTTAAGTTAAAAAAATCATAGTTTTAGTCACATATAATAGTATATATCTTTCATAGTAAATCTCAACCAAAAGAAAATTACAGATTTATTGTCAATTGGAAAGGGTAATTTAGATAGTGATCGTTGATTAGATAAGAGAACACCACTAGATGATCAGGGATTACCTGCTCATAAAGTGAAGATAAGCGAATTAATCATTAGAAGGCAGGCACATCGGCGATGTCAATTTGGCCGGCGGCTGCAGCGCAGCACGGCGTCTTGCGTGATCACGTCCTAATTCCACTTCCACGGCACCTTGTTTAGTCGAGCCGTCCGCAAGAATGCTGACAAGGTGAAGTTGTCAGGCAAGACGAAGAGACGATGCGGCCTGCTGTTTGAGCGATTCGAAGACCGAGCGACAATTCATATTCACCGCATCGTGAGGTGAAGTGGAGCCACCAGATAAGCCTAATATAAATTGGCTTTTCTTAATAGGCTTCAAATATACTTGGGCTGTTGGTTCTCTCATGCTAAAGTTTAGCTACTAAAATCAATGACTAAACTTTAGTCACTCCTGTTTAGTTCTAGTGACTAAAGACTATTAAAGCAGTTTAACAAAGACCAAACTACCTCTAATGAATAACCAAATCAGGATGGAGGACTAGCAATAATGAGGAACAACCTTCGTCCACTTGGCACTTTAGCTCACTTTTAGCTACCCTTGGGTGACTAATGTGACTAAACTACTTTAGTCCCTTTTTAGTAAGTTTATTTGATAGTTTAGTAGTTAAAGTGACTAAAGTTTAGTAGCTAAAGTTTAGAACGAGGAATCAAACATGCCCTTAGCATTTAGGATGAATTAGGAGGGTTTAAACAACTAGTAAATACACAAATCAACTATAGATATATAATAGAGGGACCAGTACAACGTTTGGGGGTGCCAGGCACCTCCCAGACCCCCTTCCCTCCGCCACTCCATATGGACTATATCTTCAATAGTCTAACTGAGAGCTAGATGAATCATTTTTTAAACCGTTAAATAGTGTAAAAAATAAAAGACTAGTGTAGAGCCAATAAATAATTTTAATATTTCACAATGCATCTCTCACAATATGATGTTCAAGGCAGCTAGCTAATGCTAGAGATGCCCTGATCCTGACCAAAACGCGCTGGCTCAGTTTTTTTTTTTCGCGCGACAGGCAGGCCCATATCGCAGCCCAACCGACGACAATCCCACAGGCCCATTCTAGCCCAACAATACTGCGCCACATTTCCTTCCGGCCGGCGCACCGTGGGCTGGACAAGGTGTTTTCAGGTCCATGTTTCCAACAAGTGCTGCGGCGCGCGGCAAGCAAGAAGGGCTGCCTGATGATGGCCCAGTCCAGACGGCTTGGACGGGACAAGCGAGATGGATATGGATTCGGCCAACCCTGACGAGTTTTGTCTATAGTTTCCAGACACAGGTGGCAAGATAATAACCACAGAGTTGCTCAAAAAAAAAAAAAAAAAAAAGGACTGACTACACATCTCCTGAAAGATTTTTCTGTTTGTTATCCTCCACTTTTTTAGCAAATCAAAAGTTGCCACGTCATATGTGATAAAAAAAGATAAAACAAAAATAGCACACATATACATCACATGACAGATTCTTAAAGATTTTTATATTTGTTATCTTCCACTTTTAGAAAATCAAAATTTGGAAAGACAAAAAAAAATGACAGCACATTACAGCACGTATCCAATAGAAATAGCTTACAACAGAAAATCCAAATCTGGAAAAACAAAAAAATACAATACATATCCAACCAATAGGAAGAGCTTACAAACAGAAAATCAAAATCAACAACAAAAAAAGACAACACATGTACAATACGTATTCCTTTCTTCACCGACGCCGTTCTTCGTCCTGTTCTCAGGCAGCGGATGGGGCCACCTTCGGCTGGGCGAGCTTGGCTGTGTCCTCGCGCGGCAGACGCGACGGACGGAGCACGGGGCTGCCGACGGAGCAGGGACGGTGGCGGACAGGACCACCGCCGGCTGGGCGACCTCTCAGCGCGCTCGCGCATGCGACGGATGGAGCAGGGGCGGTGCCGGACGCGCGGACTGAGTAAGGCGGAGGCGGACACCGTGGATGGGACCACCTTCGGCGGCAAACGCTAGTAGAGGGCGCGGCGGTGTTGTGCCGGCGAATGGAGTGCGGCGGCGGCGACGTACTGCTAGGATGCTAGTGAGTGGGCTGGAAGAACGGAAGGCTCAGGCCCATTGTTATTTAGGCAAGCCTGTAAAAAAACACGAAACTTTTGAGCCATACAAATGTGGAAGAAAATAACACAAGAAATCTGCTGGCAGATATTTAGAAATTCCGTTCGTTTTTTCTCTCTCTTGTGTGACATGTTACGTGGCAACTTTTGATTTGCTGAAAAAGTGGAAGACAACAAACACAGAAATCTGCCACATGATGTTCAAAAGTTTTTCGAAAAGATGAAACTCTGGACCGACGACGCCTGCGGTAGACATCCCAGTCGTCAAATCTCTGAAGACACACAACACCACCTACAGCGTAGGGCACCCGACATGTCACCTCTCAAGTGCTAATTAAAACTAAGGCACCTCAATCCCATGCAAATGATACAATCATTCTGTTTATTTGTTGGTTTCAACCAGGGCTTATTAGTCAGTCAATAGTAGCTTGGTTCGCGTGTCCTTAAACTTGGCTTGATCCGCTTCTTTTTTCCATCCGGAACAGTGTTTCTCTCTCACAAATTCCTCCAGAATTCCTTCAAACCATCCAAATTCCTCCACTTTAAGGGCAGTCGAACACCCCCAATGTTTTTCTCTCACAACAAACCAGCACCAGCCAGACTTATCAGCCCATAAACTAACCAGCGAACAGGCCAAATACCAAAAACATCAAGCCAATGATGCCGGTAATTTCCGTGTGCAGTCCAGCAGCAGCAGAGCTAATGACCAGTCCAACAGCAGAGCCAGTAGCCTGTCCAGCAGCAGAGCCAAAAGCCTCATACTGCATGTTGGAGCCGTAGTAGGTGTGGGGCGCCCAGTTCGCCGGGATGACCTGGTAAGCCACCAGCGTCTCGCCGGACTCGTTGGTGATGCGCGGCGAGAAGGGCCCCTGCAGCCGGCGCTTGGAGTCCATCCTCCAGATGGATCCCCACGACTCCCGCATCGGCGTCCACCACCCGGAGTTGGCCTCCATGATGTCCACCTGGACCACATCGCCATCGCCGTCTTCGAACTAGACAAGCACTGCTAAGTAGTTGGGGTTTGAGCCGTGCTCGATGGGGGAAGGTCACCATCTGCCCGGGGTAGATGCAGGGCACCCTACAGGAACATGCCATGTTATGCTTCATTTGGACTAGGCTTGTCCATAGGCATACAAAAACGCCAAACTGTGAAGTGGAAGTATGATTCTGTTGGTGTAGGGCCTTCAGATTGCTTGCCATGTGGTTCTATGAAACGAGCAGTGCATGTTACGGACCTCCTGAACTGGATGTCGATGATGCCGGCGTGGTGGAGCTCGTTGTTGCGGCCGGGCTGTGCCATGGCACCAAGCGCCGTGCCGCTGAGGTCAAAGTGGTACTTGGCGACTGGGTAGTAGTTCATGTCGGTGGTCATCACCGTCTCCGGGTTGCCAGAGCACGCGGGGTGGTTGACGCATCGTATCTGAAAAAGGTCAGCAACAAATGAAAGGAGTTAGTCATCTAGTTTTTTGTCTCTGTTTCCGTTTTCACGAGGACAGCCAACAGCACAAACGAACTTCTTGATATCCTAGAAATAGTATCTCTGACCAAGTAATGTACCTGGTAGCACGAGCCACAGCCCTTGCCATCCTTGAACAGGGGCTGGTTGCCGCACGATGTCATGGCCGAGAAAGGAGGCAGGTTCACATTCTTGAACCCACAAGCGCCACCTGCATGCACAAAAGCTTACAGATCGTCCAACAACAATGCACGCCATATACGATCTGGCACCATGCACCAACATTCATGTCATACCGTTGTCGTAGGGGCCAGCGCCGGTTGGCGCACCATACCAAGTGGCCCTGGCAGCCACCCAGTAGGGGTCCGTGGTGATGTGGGAGGCATTAAAGTTGACGATCCTAGTGCATGAGCCATACGAGACAAGAAGGAAGAAGATCAGTGCACCAAGCGCAACCAGCTTGGACTGGGCAGACATGAAGCTCTGTGTTTCGATGGTCAGCGAGAAGCACCTTGCCAGGATATTCTTTAGTAGGGGGTCACATGGCTCTGGAGCAAACCATGGAAGGAATGGAGGCATCAGGTCAGTGGCGTTTATATAGGATTTGAAGCTAGGGTGGTTCAATAAGTGGATTTTTTTAATATCTCAAATGTAAATTGTCAACTTACAATACAAGCACAAAAGCTTGTGTTACAAACATCTTCAAATCCACAATTAGGTATAAAATTTGCCTCCAGAAAATCTCACTTACAATATAGTTCAAATAAGACAACTATTCTATTTCTTTTGATGCTGGGCTTATCTTTCTAACAGCCTTAAAAGTCTCTATTATACCATCTTCATTCACAATGAAGAAAACGTCATTACAAATTACTAGTTACTTGCAAATTTACAAATTTACATTTCTACCGCCGGCTACTGATGTGCATTCCTAGTTTCTCACAACAATGTGCAATGCGCTACCAATATGCCACTACAATCCTACGTTCCTAGCTTCCTATGATCACTACCGGAGACGGCTTCTTTGCCGAGTGTCCCAGACTTTGCCGAGTGCTTTTTATCGGGCACTCGGCAAAGAGGCTATTTGCCGAGTGCCAGAGAGAAAGCACTCGGCAAACAACTGGCACTCGGCAAAGAGGTAGTTTGCTGAGTGCCGAGCACTCGCAAACAATAACACTCGGCAAAGACCATGTTTGCCGAGTGTCGGGCACTCGGCAAACCAGAACAGTCAGCAAAGGGCCACCGCCGTTAACGGCCAGCAGCCACCGTTAACCCTTTGTCGAGTGTCTTCTCCTGATCACACTCGGCAAAGCGGTGATTTGCCGAGTGTTATTTTTTTGACACTCGGCAAACCATATTTTTTTTCACTTTTGACCTCCAAACTTTTTCTGCAGTCTTCATACAATACCTGATACTCTATATTCCAATATGGCACATTTCTCAAACTTTTTCTATATTTCTTTAATTTATTTCATTTAATTGAATTTTCTTGGATAATTCAAATTATAACCGCTAGTCATTCGAATAATGAAAAAAATAAATGGAAAAATGATATTCATGTTATTTAGTATAATGTGAGGCCGTATCCAGGAACAGACCACCAATTTCAAACATCTTGTTCACGAAACATGACCACGAACTTGCGGTCGAGTTATTTTTAAATTCTATAAAAAGCAAACGAAGTCTAAAAATCATGAAACTTGTCAAGATGTCATGATATCATATGTGGAGGCTATGATAAAAATTTGAGAAGGTTTCGCGCAAGTTATCACATACGATGCTTGCAAACCGAAGAATCTCCGAAGAAGTTTCATGATTTCATGAAGAGGGCGACGAGGTGGTAAGCATCGTACGTGACAAACTTGCGCGAAACCTCCTTAATTTTTTATCACAGCCTCCACATATGATATCATGACATCTCGACAAGTTTCAAGATTTTCAGTCTTCGTTTGCTTTCTATAGAATTTAAAAACAACTCGACCGCAAGTTCGTGGTCATGTTTCGTGAACAAAATGTTCGAAATTGGTGGTCTGTTCCTGGATACGGCCTCACATTATACTAAATAACATGAATATCATTTTCCCATTCATTTTTTTTCATTATTCGAATGACTAGCAGTTATAATTTGAATTATCCAAGAAAATTCAATTAAATGAAATAAATTAAAGAAATATAGAAAAAGTCCGAGAAACGTGCCACATTGGAACATGGAGTATCAGGTATTGTATGAAGACTACAGAAAAAGTTTGGGGGCAGGAAGAAAAAAAATGGTTTACCGAGTGTCTGCGTTTGGTGCTCGGCAAAGGGTCCTCTTTGCCGAGTGCAAGGACGGCCGGCACTTGGCAAAGAATTTTAAATTTTTTAAAAAAAACCCTCTTTGCCGAGTGCCAGCCGTCCTGGCACTCGGTAAAGAATTTAAAAAAAATTAAAAATACTTTGCCGAGTGCCAAGTACTCGGCAAAGAATTTTTTTTAAAAAAACCCTCTTTGCCGAGAATTAAAAAATTAAAAAATACTTTCCGAGTGATGGATCGGGGCACTTTCGGCAAGGGGATTTAACCCACTGGCCCACACACACTGCACACACACGCACGCCGCCCGCCCTCCCTCTTTTCCCGTGGCCGACCCCCTCCTCTCCTTCCCCTTGCCCCCTCTCTCTCTCCCGGATCCGGTGCCCCCTCCCTCTCTTCCCCGGCCACCCTCCTCTCTTCCACAGTGGCCCTCCTCTCTTCCTCGTGCCCCCCCCCTCTCCTTCCCGTCGCCCCTCTCTCTCTCCTCTCCACGCCTTGGCTCCCTCCGCATCCTCTCCCCACGAGAGACCTGCTCGTCCCCATGGCTCATTGTGGACTGCGTAGGGGCAGCGCTCTGGGATGGGCGGCCAAGAGCCATGCCTACCATGCTTGCTTGCTTACGCCAAAGTGGGCGAGCTGAGCCTATTGGGTGAGCGCCCTTCTTGTTGGTTGACTGCATGACAGCAGACTCAACACCACGCTTCGTCCCGGTAGGGATGGGCTGGATGCTTGATCTCGATCCGCGTCGTCTCCGTAAGATCTGCGCCGTCCAATAGTTCTAGCTGCTCGTCCATCCTGTGTGGTCTGCAGATCGGGCATGCACGTCCATGGTGAGCTATTTAGGCATTGCAGATAGAAGACTAGGGCTAGAGTTGCCCCGCAGTGAATTGCTACTGTCGTGACTGCCGGGATATTGTAATATCGGTAGTAGTTCATCCTTTGTTTCTGTGTGAAATATTGATTTGGGCCTTGCTTGCTAATGCTAAGTGAGTTAAATAGTAGACTGTGTTGTTAAAGAATGTAATTTTCCGTGGTCTAGAATTCCTGTTTATTTACTTGAATGTGTTGTTGCTGTCCTGGAGTTTCAGATTCTTTTTCTAGGATAATTGATCTACCTAAGGAGCACCATTAGAGCATGGGTTCATGTACAAGAGCTATAGATGCTCTGTAGTTTTGAAACACCTACCAATATTTGTTGTCCCTAAGTTTAATATTAGAGTTAATTATATCAATCACACTGGAAATACCATAAACAAAGTAAAGTGCACCTCTCAGTTCCCTTATTTAAGCTTTCGTAGTGCATCCACATGGTGCAGACTGATGTGCTTATGTGAACTAATAATCTCTTATAAGCACACCCATTGTACATACTCTTATGTTGGCCATTGTTGTATGTGTATGTGTGAACCTATCAACCCTGATGCTATCTTGATGCATGGGTGACTGAGCCTGAAACCTGATGCATTTGTGAACCTGATAAAACAAATACAGAACTGAAGTGAAAACATGTTTGTCTTCCAAGCTACTTCAATTCAGAAAGACCTGAGTAGTTATTTAAAAACTTCATGCTTGTATGTAACTAATTTGCAATGCAACGAGGGACATGACTCATGGACAGTACCTGTACTTAGGCAAGAATGTGACCTCCATGGTTCACAGGGGCATATGTGCCTAGATCATTTGTGCTATTGCTGCACATCTATTGGTTGATTGAACTTGCCTGTTAATTGAAATTAGTAAAACTATTTGAGAAAAAACTAGAAGATTGTGTGAGCATTGTTGCTTGTTTTTGAATAATCACATTTTAGTTCCTTTTACAATATTAGAGCTATTGTGACTACTCTTCCTGCAGTTTCATAACATGTTGTTTGATGTGTGCAGGTAGCAGTTGACTGCTAGCTGCTAATATAACACCCTCAATGTACAACAAGGTAAATAGTTTTAAAAATCCCTAGCTTATGTACTTGTGCTGTTACTTTTTATTGTATTGACACTGTAGTTTGATTTACTTAGTATTGTCTAATCATTATCAATTTAGAGAAGAGGTGAGCTTACTGCTAGCTCGTCTTGGTAGATTCTTCCCTTGATGTTTTTTTCCCACTCAATAAACAGCATCAGAAGCTTTATATACTTAGCCCAGCCGTGGTGGCTAGAATGCTATTTTTCCTTGCTTTATTGGTCAACTCAAGGAGTCTTATTTAACTGCTCATTCCAATGGCATATTACACCTTTAAATCCTATTTTGTTCAGTACCGTGACATGTTATTTTGCTTTTCTCCAGTACAACGCTGGCAATCCTGCTACTGTGTTGGTCATAGCTGCTGGGAAAGGCTTAACTGACTGCATCAAGTGTTTGTTGAAAGCTGGTGCCGATGCAAATATTTCTGATGAAGTGAGTTTTATCTTTCTTTTTAGCTTATAGCTGTAACTGTTCTCTTGCTTCTGGGACCTGTGTCCGTTATACTTGCAGCAGTGCAGCACTACTTTCAGGAATTTTCTAGAGTTAATATGTTATTGAAGCATGCTAAGATCTGAAGATTTTTGTGAGTACAATTTTTTTTAAGGTAGTGAGTACAGTTTAGAACACCACCCAACTACACAAGTGAATCTAGGGTAATTAGCAAAGTATTCTCAGTGATGCAATTTATTGGTATTTAGTGTTTATTGTCATTGCTTTCTGAAACCCGTCCTTTTTGATAGCCTGTTTAGTGCTATACGGACCGAATATTGTTTTCTTTGAAAGTATCGTGACGCTAGTTTATTTAATGTACTTATTTCATAGCTAGGAGCAATTTTTGAGTAAAGTACTGCTTGTCTTGAAATCTGAAGTCCAACATCTTACCTTGAATAAAAAAAATATTCCTATCTTGTCACAGTGATAATGAAAAGAAGGAATTGAAAATGGGCTGGCCGAAGTGTTCATGTACAGTATTGATGGCTTCGGTTACTGAGTGCAGATGTCTACTAGGATGCCTCGTAGCTGGTTATCTTGATGGACCACAAAATCTTGCCATAGTTGGTCGTTTTATGCCTTCTCGACACTCTTAAGATATAATTACTTGTATGTAGGGTACGGCATCATATGTCTGTTGTTATTTCGCACCATGTACAGTATTTGATGTTGCTGCACCTTGATGCTGCTTCTGGTTACTCTCCCTTTCTGCTTTCCCTTTTTGGATATGCTTATTTGCATACCAATCTTCAGACTACTGAACTTGCTGGAATGGTGGCCTGCGATACTACGATGCTAATGCAGCTTTCGTTACGTACTTCCGTGCAGGCCACTGCTGCGCAGGTCGACCAGAGCGAGGCAGCACAACGTCCGAATCAGTGGACCTGAATGGGCTAGGTAGACAGAGAATGCAACTTCCCTGGAACCTGTCCAGTGTTCACGTTCTCATGGTGCAAAGAAAAAGCAAAGCTGCTGGATATGCTGAGAATTTTTTTTTCTTTAGAAAATAGGTTTGCCGAGTGTAATTCTAAAAACACTCGGCAAACAGTAACAGTATGCTGAAATTTTTTTCCTTTAGAAAATAGGTTTGCTGAGTGTAATTTCCAAAAACACTCGGCAAACAATAATCCTTTGCCGAGTGTATTTTGGAAAAACACTCGGCAAACCACTTTTTTAGCCAAGTGTTGAGCCAACGGCGCTCGGTAAAGCGGCGACCTTTGCCGAGTGCTTGACCTTGACACTCGGCAAAGCCGCCGTCACGGTGGCGCTCGCCGTCACGGTGACTTTTCTTTGCCGAGTGTTAGATTAGCACTCGGCAAAGGCTTTGCCGAGTGCCCGATAAAGTGCACTCGGCAAAGAGGCATTTGCCGATAAACTGTTTACCGAGCGCCAAAGGCTTTGCCGAGTGTATATCAGCCTTTCAAAGAAGATGAATCCGGTAGTGGATGACTACCAGTGTGCAAGACTGCAAGCTACCAAAACAAGTACAATCTTAGTGGCTTAGCTCGTTTGTTGCTAGTACTGGGCAGACATGAAGCTCTGTGTTTCGATGCTCAGCGAGAAGCACCTTGCCAGGACATTCTTTGGTGGTGGGTCACATGGCTCTGGAGCAAACCATATAAGGAATGGAGGCATCAGGTCAGTGGCGCTTATATGGGATTTGAAGCTAGGGTGGTCCGATAATTCAATTTTTTTTATATCTCAAATGTAAATTGTTAACTTTGAATACAAGTACACAAGCTTGTCTTACAAACATCTCAAATCCACAATTCAATATAAAAAAATTTGCCTCCAAAAAAAGCTCATAAACTTAGGATAATTCAAATAAGACAACAATACTATTCTCGATGTTGGGCTTATGCTTCCTAACAGCCACAAAAGTCTCCATTATATCATCTTCATTCACATTGAAGAAAGCATCTTTACAAATTACTACTCATTCCATCCTAAATTATAAGTCATTCCAAGAATCTTGGAGAGTCAAAGCATCTCAAGTTTGACCTAAATTATACGAAGAATTACAAAGATTTATAACATCAAATAGATATACTATAAAAATATAATTAATAAAGAACTCAATGATACTTAGTTGGTATCATATATGTTATTATCTTATCATATAAATTTGGTTAAACTTGAGATATTTTGACTCTCCAAGATTCTTGGAATGACTTATAATTTGGAATGTAGGGAGTAATTGATTGCGAATTTTACAAATTTGCATTCCTACCACATAGCTACCAATGTGCGTTCCTAGTTTCTCACGGCAATGTGCAATGTGCTACCAATGTGCTAGTACAATCCTATGTTCCTAGTTTCCTACCATGGCTACCAGTGTGCAAGGCTGCTTCAAGATACCAAAACAAGTTACAAAGAAGTGAGATTAGTGAACTACCTCGCTGCTTGCCTGCCGGCTTGCTGCTGGGGTTGGCTGCTTCGCCGCCGCTCCTCGGCAACTGCTCCGCTCCAGTGCGGCGGTACGCCAGGTGGCCGCCGCAAGCCACGCCGGCGAGCCAGCCAATCGCCGGATCTCCTCCCAGCCTCCCTTTTGCCAGACGCCGGGTCGCTCCTCCTGTCCGCCTTCCCTGGCTTCCTCTCCGTGGAGGCGTCGCCGGATGCCCGGATCCGGCGGGGGCTGGCCACCGCGCGCCGCAAATTTGCCCCCAATCGGCGAACCCTCCCTAGGTCACCCCCTCCGCTCTGCCTCGCGCCTCCGTCTTAAGTTCTAACGGTTGCCGATTCAGAGTCCGAGTGGACGGCCTATATCGCTTCCTTATCCGAGAGTCCACCGGCGTGGGCTACAAGGCCTTGTTGCGGCCCAGCCCAAATTAGAATCCAAACAAAGAGAGAGCTCAGGCGCTCAGGCGTGGGCTACCAGTCAGTTTGGTTTTTCTTCGTGTGCGGCGGCGCCGGGGTTTCCTTATTGAAAACAGTTGGGCCCACCTGGCCCAACCAATTGGAGGAGAGGTTGGAATCCAGCCCGACCTAACCTCTGGCCCACATAAATGTTGAGACGCGCCGCCGCCAACGCTTGTTCTCTCCTCATCGAAACCTAGAGGTTTCCAAATTCCCTGAAGCGATGGCGGGAACAGTACAATTATACCTGAAACTTGCACAGATACAAAACAAACAAAAATAGGTATAATAAATAAAACTATTATAATTATTTTTAGGAAAAGTTAAAACAAATGGCTAAGAGTATGAAAACAGTTTGACAAGCCTCAAAATATAATTATTCTTGGCCCTAAAAAAGTTGTGCTTAGTTTCTTAGCCCTTTTTCTCTTGAACTTGGCTATTTGGCCCGAAAACGAGTTTTGTTTAGCTTGGTCCTTCCGTCAGTTTGACAAGCTAATGGTGTTGAAAGCAACACGAAATTACTCTTTTACCCTTGACGACGAATGCAATAGTACAACACCTACAGTAGAGCCATACAAGCCTTTCAAGCGGCCTACTTATCAATAATTTCCCAAAGGTATAATATTTTTTTCAAGCATGGAATCATCATGAAAAAGGCGAGGAGCGGCAGCATCACCAGGCTGCCGACGATCAAAACCCGTCACCACATCTTCTCGTCATCGTCCAGCAGCTTTCGCACGCCTCCAGCGCCACTGGTCATCTCCATCTCGGCCACCTCTGTACTGTACGCGCGTGCATCATGGCCGATCAGACACCTAGGCTTTAATGGACATGCGGCCACCTGCAACGAGGTACGAGCTGGAGTTAGGACTTCTCCGCTCTGTTCGCTTGGGCTTGTTTAGTTGATAAGCCATAACTAAAAATACTATTGGCTGATTTGATGTGAAAGAAAATACTGTTCGTTGGTTAAAAAAGTACGACTTATAAGTTAAACAAGCCAAGAGAACATGGTGTGCGTTCGTTGTGGACTCGTGGTTGCACGAACATGGGAGATTGGCTCGTGCGGTTGAGTTTTGTGCCTCGTGTAGCACTTCATTTGCGTGCCAAACCAAAACTAGCTCTACCTAAATTCATGTACTCCCTTTTTACCGCCAGGAGTAAAATAGTCATTTTATCTTGCACTTAACACCGTTAAAAGGCTGAATCAGATGGAAGGCCATTGAAGGAAGATATTTTCGTTTTCGAGCCATACAGGTAAGTTCAAAAAAAAGAGAGAGACCATAGAAGAACAACGTATTTTTTTTGAAGGCTATACAGCTATACAGGTAAATATCTCAAGAAACAAGGGTCCTAGCAAGACAATCACACCAGTACATATATACATATGTAAATTGTTATTTACCTCGGTTTATCACCGGTATAATATATAGAAAAATAGCAGACAACATAGCACACATCATCTTATACAACATAAACAGTATCAGTATTCAGTAACCATCCTTGCAACAGATTCATCCAATCCAGCAGGTTCATCTCGAGCAGGCAGACCTCAACAGTTCAGAGCCGTTAATTCACACATATCTCATGAGGACTTCTTTGATTTCTTGTCCTCCCATTCCTTCCGGGCTTCCTCAATCAACTTGCTCACCTTGTCATGGAAGCCAGGATACGGTTCGTACCCGCCAAATGTGTGAAGAATCTGAAACAAACAAGATTATCATGAGTGGTCATGTTATCCATCCAGCGAAGCAGCAATGTTGCCAACAAACCACGGCAATGCAAAAGTTTACCTCTAGCAGCACAAAGAATGGTGCCATCAGGAAAGCCTGGACAAGATTGTCAAGGAGAGCAGGCGCTCGCTTCTGCAAGGACAATAAGATTTACAAGTAATCTATGGGTGTGAATGTGTGATTACAAAATAACTAGAGCCAAAACCAAATAGAATGACAGACTTACCTCAAAAACTCCATGACCAATGAATTGCATAGTCCAACAGACCAACTGAGCCACCAATACAACCTTTAATAAAAAAATGTAAGAGTTAATGATTGAGCCAGAAACCAAAGAAGCGCCTTGCAACTACCTCAGTTCACACTGAAAATATGAAATACAGGCAACAAGAGTTTCTATAGTTATTTCATCTTTTTGCTCTAGGCATTTAAGAACAAAGCAAAGGTACAATGCTGCCAGATTTATAAATTGTGTTGTTACGAAAGAGGGCCAGTGAGTGTGCAAGTCACCTGCATGGTCTAGCTTCTGAAATATCTAAGTTATATCGACTTATTAGTTTAAAGGAGCTATCAACTTGTGACAAGCAGACTCAATAATTAGTTTATTCAAACACTGTTTAGCACAGGTGTGCTAAATGCCTTCTTATTGATGCAGGTAAGTAACAAAATACAGGCAATTAGTTTGTCAGAAGCATCAATAGTGATCACTAATGGCGCAGAATTAGAGCGGAAGAAGCAAAGTGCAATGTGCCTTTTTGTGGTTACAACAAGTTTAAATGCTTAATAGAAGGACTGTCATATAAAAAAAAGCAGATATTTATAAGTCTGCCAATTTTGTACTGTATGGCAATCTATAGATGGTCCCCTCACAGAACCAAATATTTCTTTGCTACAAAGTATGAAAAATTAAGCTCTTTGTCAGCCCAAGGTATGACAGTTGAAGAGCCAAGTAACCGATAGTTTCATCTTCTGGGATGATTTTTTTGGACAAGAGTAAACTAAAAATAAGTTATCCAGTACTTGTTCGCTTGAGCTTATAAGCCAATCAGCCCTACTTTTTCAACCATGGAACAGTGTTTTTCTCTCGCAACAAATCAGCCCTACAAATCAGCCGCAGCAGCAATAAGTCCTGCCGAAGATTCTGTCCTATGTCACAATGAAACATATTATCTGTCCAGACCTTCGCACATCAGCAAAAGAACCCATGCTATGCCAGTAACTTGAAGTTAGCATTGGGAGACGGCCACAACCCTTTTGACAAATGGGAAAGCAGGTTTTTAGAGCTCATCAGTTAGGATGCTACAAAATCTAGTTAGCATCCAGCAAACAATCCTCGCACCCTTAATTCTTCTCTATTAAAGAAAAGAGTTGCACACAACACGATCAACTTATTTATGAATGCATTGATATTCAATTGTGCTCGTAGACTACTATCAAACAGCAGAGCAGTGCAGATCAATATTGACCATCATATTGACATACGTGTCATCTGCGTGCCATTCATTTGACCATTACTCCAGTCACAAACAAAACTAAAACATAGATGCTCCATTAGGATATTGGGTAAACTCGGTCAACAAAAGAGGGCAGTTTTTGAAAATGAAATTACCAATAGGCTATATCTAGCGCTAAATGAACTAAGAAAATCCATACAGCAGAGCTAGATCACAATCGCACATTAAAAAAACCACATCGAGAAACTCTGAGAGATCAAGCTCTTTCACTTTCAGTATCACCCACCTCAAAGGAACTAAAGGGGAAAACTGGATGAAAAGTTCACATGTGAATGCCTCAATAAAAGCTGAACTGTATAGACTAAAATTAGTCAACATAAAAGAACTACAGTAACCAGCGTCATCCGAATATCCCTATTGCACCAGTAAAAGTGTCAGAGTGTAATCCCAAACTGTACTTATGGGGCGACTACAAGTACATAACCACCTAGGAATCACCGAATATACGGATGAAGCTCATCTGAAATTTTGCTATCTTCGATTAATCAGACGAATTTTGCTATCTTCGCTTAATCAAGGCACCGGTACTCGAGGAATGATACTAAAATCAAGGCACCGGTACTCAAGGAATGATACTAACTGTAGCTGATTACAGAAATCCAATTTTCCCCCGTGGATACCAAAATCAAGGCACCGGTACTCGAGGAATGCTACTAACTGTAGCTGATTATAGAAATCCAAGCACAGAAGACATGATATAGGACGAGCTAAGTCAAGGATCGATGCGAAAGGGCGTCGCTTTTCCCCCCTTACCTTCCATCCAACGGAGAAACCGAGGCGGGCAGCGAGGGCGCCGCTGGCGGCCCAGCAGAGGTAGCAGAGGAGGGCGGCGAGCGCGCCCGCGCGGCGGTCGAGGAGGAAGTAGTAGGACGCGTAGACCGCGGCGCCGATGCCGGCGGCGTGCGCGGAGGGGGCGGTGAGGTGGAGGAGCATGAGCGCCGTGAGGAAGATGGGCCAGACGAAGAGCTCGTGGATGCTCACGTTGACGGGGTTGCTGTGGTAGGCGCCGTAGAAGGCGTAGTGCCCCTCTAAGTCCAGGAGGCCGCCGCCGCCGCGAGGCTTCGCCATGGCTCTCCCCTGTTGGTTGCTTGCTCTCAGTATCAGGTCCCTTTTTTTTTCCTCTTCTTCCAGCGGGCTGGAGGGATACACCAGCAAGCAAGGCCTGATGTGCTATATTAACGTTTGATTGAGGATTTGTTTGGGCGTTGTTGGGCTGGCCTCGCTAATAAATGGTGACCCGACCCTGTCGATGGTACAGTCCTTGACGGATGATGTCATGATGACGATTCATAAATCATATGGTATCAAATCATCTACAGGATAGTATGAACATTTTCACCAAGTTTGCTGGAACTACTCAGGTGGTGCAGATAATTCTCTGTTGTGAATCCGAATTATGAGGATACGAAGAACTTTTGATATCTGTATGGATAAGGATAATTCGAATCCGATTATGTGCGGATGCTAGGTAGGATATGGAATAGACAAAATCCGGCGGATATGGATTGTCCGCAAATTTTATGTGGATTATCTGATGTTTACAATACAATATTCGAAAGTTTTTCTCCCTAAACTAAAACCAAGAGGAATTCAGGATTAAAAAAAACTTATTCGTTGAGCACTCTTATTTTGTGACGCAATCGTTTGATGTTCTAGTTTTTATAAGAAATTTCTAGATGCTAGTACTTACTCCCTCCATCGTCCTAAAATAAGTGTCGTTACGGTATTCGTGACCGCCAAACTTTCTCTAGATTTGTAGAAAATATTAGCAATATTTATATCTCGATGGCTATAAAGAAGAGTGTTGGAGGTGCATTATATGTTGGGGAAACCCATTATCATGTTCAGCAATTACTACGAAGACTAGGGATTCGCAAAATAATATTTGGGGTCCATAATACTAGTTGAAGAAGAGCTGTTGAAAATATAAGCCAAAATTCAGAAGAATTCCTAGATTTTGAATTCACAAAGAGTCTCGTAGCTGTGCTATATGCTTTGTTATGTTGTGATGTGTGCTTTTAGGTTTCCACAATGATCATCATAGTTATTGATGATTGTTGCAGCTTGTTAATGAAGTCCTTAGTTTCTTGATGCGGTTTACCAAGTCTTTTTTTTCTAGTTCCTCGAACTTGGGGCATTCAATACTCCATGTCGAATGTTTGTACATATGCCACAAATTTGAAGCTAAATAGACGACTAGTCCACTAAATAAATTCTAATTTCTTCAAAATAAAATGATCCAAACGACTCCTAAGAGAAAAGACATGATTTATTAAGTTGTAGCAACAATTTGATATTCTAGTATTATGGTCAATTTGTGGACTAAACGTTCTAGAGTGATGCAAGGGCCCCATGTTCACAAGTAAATAAAAACTTCATTGTAAAAAATAAAATCACCTTTTATTGTAAAAAATAAAATCACCTTTTATAGAGCTATATGCAAAACGATAAATAGTCACACGTCGTTCTAGAGTGCGATGATGTCAACTTTGTGGGGCGCTAGCGCGACTTGACGAGGAAGAAAAGAAAACGCTATTTTATTTAGTCACGCATCGTAGCTAGAGCGATGCAAGACCAGATAGTAGTGTTCGGTCAACTTTGGGGGCGTGTTTTTACGAGGAAGAAAATAAAAGGCCAAACATTTGACTTTGTCTCGCGTGGCTACAGTGCCGATGCAAGTTTCGACTTAGCCAAGCATTGCCATGTTTATTTTTTGTTTTCATAATGTGGTTAAGCACCTTTTATCGACTGACCCTGCTGCTTGTGTTGTTTTAATTTGGGGAAAACGTACATATTCCATCCACGATCACGAGTTTAATTTAACCCCACAGAATGCGACGAGTCCCCGCACAGAACCACCCGCCATGTCACCCCGAAAACTCTCGTCCGTTCGATGGCCTAGATCTCTTGGAGCAGATTCCGCTGGGAGCGGCTTCGCCTCATTCTCGTGCGATTCTCTGGCTTCTCCTCTACTTCTCCGGCTTTGCGTCCGAATCCAGGGAAGCAAATATATACCGCTTCTCCCTCCGCATCGTTCCCTTCCCCGATGGTTCCCGACACCGACGCCCGCCCGCACCGCGGCGCCTCCGCCGCTCCTACCCCCGTCTTCCCTTCCCCCCTCCCCCTCCCTCTCTCCCGGCGTCGCGGCGTGCCTGTCGGGCCCCAGTGTCGCTGCCTAACCGCGCGGCGCGCTGCCTACGCAACGCCACCGCTAGTTTGGTGCGCTGCGACGCGCGGTGGCCCCGACGGGGGCCGTACCTGGCCATGTCGCGGCTCCAGCAGGCACCGCCAGCGGCCGCAGCTGCGGGTGCCTCCCGATTTGGCTTGCTTCCACCAGTCCGCGTCTCCTCCACTGCTCATGAAGCCCTAGATGCCTGTCCTCATCTCTTCCCCACGGTTCCTGAGGATGGAGGCGACGGACACAGGTCAAGTGACACAGCGGAGCAGAGCAGCCGTGCAGCGACCACGTAGTGACTTGAACCAGGTACTGTCGGGGACCAATACCATGGTACCCGAAGAGAAGGAGCTAATAACCATCAACATTAATTCATCCGAGCGGTCAAGGGCACGACTACAGCTCTTGCCGACCCCAGGTACGCAAGCTCTGCCTCGCCCGACCTCTAAGAGACAGCTCTGCCTCGTCCGGCCTCTGAGAGCCGGTTCCGCCTTGCCCGACCTCCGAGGGCCTGTTCCGCCTCGCCCGACCTCTGAGGGCAGGGTTCCGCCTCGCCCGACCCTTAGGTCCGCGCTCCGCCTCACCAGGCCTCTGAGGGCCGGTTCCGCCTCGCCCGACCCTTGGGTCCGCGCTCTGCCTCGCCCGGCCTCTCAGGGCCGGTTCCACCTCGCCCGACCTCCGAGGGCCAGTTCCGCCTCGCCCGGTGTCTGAGGGCCGGTTCCGCCTCTTCCAACCTCCGAGGGCAAGGCTCCGCCTCGCCCGACCCTCGGGTCCACACTCCGCCTCGCCCGACCCTTGGGTCCGCGCTCTGCCTCGCTCGACCCTTGGGTCCGCTCTCTGCCTCGCCCGACCCCAAGGCCGGAGGCTTCGTCTCGCCCGACGAAGACCCATACCGCCACCGACCACTCCAGGTCCAAGCATATGGGTCTAGGTCAAAGCTCTGACGCCTAGGAAGTGACCAGCATGCCCCGGTATAACCCGTGGCCGTGATGGGCCATACCTGAGGATTCACATCAGGAACAGCGTCGGGCATACCGAACGAAGTGGAGCGCCATGACCGGCAGACGATGCCTGCTCGTGGCGCTAGTGACGGATAGGACCACGACGGGAAGCTATCCCTGTTGATGTCTACAGGGTCAGCGGGACCCGCATAAAGAAGAAGAAGGACCCGGCAATTTTGGAGGACTTCTTATCCTTCTCATTTCTCCTCTTTTCCTTCCGCTGTAACCTCTGCTTTTCCTTGGCCTATAAAAGGGAAAGCAGGGCATCCCATTAAGGGGCACTGGAACTAGATCAGACAACAGATCCTGCATTCGAACACATCCGAGCTTGACTCAAATCCGAACCGATCGAAACTCATCGCAACACACCACCAGAGACTTGGGACCCTTCCCTCTCTCAACCGTTTGTAACCCCTACTATGAATTTTTAGTGCTAGTAACACAAGCAGCAGCAATGAACTGGACGTAGGGACATTCTGCCCGAACCAGAATAAACCTTGTGCCCTCTTAGCACACCATCCGGGTCAGACGTGCAATATTAGAAATTTACTTATTGGTGGCAACTCGAAACACCGACAATTGGCACGCCAGGTAGGAGCCTTTTGCGTGGCTCGACATCAACACCAGTCCTCAAATGGCTAGTCACGACCTCAGCTAGGTCCAGGGCGCGCACGTGCGCTTCAGGGACCTAGACTTTATCGTCACAATGGAAGGAGGGTTGGCGATGGCTCCCGCCGCTGTCTGACCTCTCCACTCTGCCAGCCTCGACGCAATCACCGAGGCACTTGAGGAGCTGCAGCTGCACGCACCGAAGGCCCGCGGCCCCAGAAACAACCAACTCCTCGACTTCAACTACGAGAGGTTGAAGCACCAGCTCGGCGCCTTCCTAGGACCCCAGCCATCCCGGGAGGACCTACGCCACCTCACCTTCTCGTTCGCCAACGTCATGGCGCAGCTTGCCAGAGGGGAGCCGCTCTCTCCAAAATACCTCATTCGGAGTGTCTCAACAGTGCTCCCGTTTGGTCTCTACAACGTCACAGGGACCGATGGCCACCTTGAGGCTCAATGCGCGCCTCCTTTCCCCACGAATGATGAGTTCGTTGGGATGACCAAACATGTCGCGGAGTCTTTCCACGACCTCCTCGCAGAGGAAACGAAGTCGCCCTCCGCCTCTGACTCCAACAGGGGGAGCCATCACCCCTCTCGTGAGTGTTTTATGGTAGGTACCCCCGAGGGACACATCGAAAGCATCCACGAGGAGGAGGCTACCCTGACGAACGACCTCGATGATGAGGTCGGGAGGGAGACAGGGGCCCCACCCAGCCTGCGGGTGGAGCAGCTGAAGGCTCGGCACCTAGAGCTCGAGGAAGCATGACTCTAGCTCGAGCAGAAACGCGTAGAGCTCGATCGGGAGATCGAGCGCCACGAAGACGGTGGGCACACACACGCCATGGCCCGTGATGTGAACCAGAGGATCATCGCGGACGATGAGGCCCTCCCACACTTCGCCCGGGTGAGCCAGAACATCGCTGCTGCGGCGGCTTTGCTCCGTGGGCTTCCAAGGCCTGCAACGCCCGAGGATCGTCGAGCCCACCGTGAGATTCACACGCTGCTTGAGTGTGCGGCGGCACAGCAGGCTGAGAGCTCGCTGTCTCGGTGATGTGAGCTCGACGCCAGCTAGCGCATGCCCTTAGAGTGCCTCGACAAGGATGCATCAGTCCACCAGGCGCCACAAGACGGCAGGCAGCACACTGTGGTCCTGGTGCATCAGCGTCTCGGCTACAACCGTGACGCACGCGACACCCTTGACGCCCGTAGACGTACCCACGATGACCCAAGAGAGGGAGCTAGCCACGGCTATCACCCTTGTCGTGGCGAACGCTACGACAGTG